TTATTATATATACATATACAGTATTAATTATATATACATATATATATATATAAAACACTCGTCTCAAAAACTACAAACATAATTCAAATCCTTCAGCAACGGAGGACACTGGCATTCTGCTTGTTCTAGTTGGTACTGAGAGGAGCTGACGGTGTTCATGAGAGTATAGGTTAAGTAGTTTTTGTAACAACAGTAAGGTACCTTGTAGATTCTGAATATGACGATTTTGAAACTGTTTCTCCCGTTCCAGATTATGGAGTTGCCACTTCAGCGACTCGATCATCTTGAAAAAAACCATTTGGAATTTCATTGTTAATGAAATGTAACTGTGTGATTAACTGTACAGATATACAGGCAGTTAGCTCTCACTGCTGAATCAACACATACCTGGCTCTGTATCTGGAGTTGTGACTGAATGGCAGCCAGGTCGGTCCACTTTACACCAGAACTGAGATGTGTGGAAGTAAACAAAGGGTGGGCTCGAGTAGAAAGAGCAACAGGGTCTAAATCTGAATCCAGACTGCTCCCGCTCACTGGAAACAAATCCGAAGACGACAAAAGCAAGAGCTAAACCACATCAGATATCTTCAACTTTATATGCTTGCCAGTGAGATTCATCTTTGATCGAAGTCTAAATAAGAGGAAGTTAAACAGCTGGGGAGGGCAGGGAGGGGGTTCCCTTTTGAATTTAAAAATGAGTCACGCACCTTTTCCATCTTTGGAGAGTTTCCCAGGGGATGTTAGTCTCTCCTGCTGACACACACACAAAAAGCTTAAAAATATATAGTTTCCCCCAAAATTCTTACTTGATGAAAATGAACTAAACCAGGGTTGGTGAGATACAAACACCTGATGAAGCATCACTGCTATCTGCAGATTGTCTCAGTAATGACAAGTTAGAAATGAAAATATCTCAACTCCCGAGATGAATAAAAGAATGTTTTCATGCACAGTTTGGATAAATAAATACAGTATACATTTTAAATACTGCATTTCTAGCATTCCTTTACATGATGAATACATAAAAACACATTTAAACTTACCCTAATTTTTGCAACACTGCCATCTGCTACTGACAGAATGGAGCTGAGCTCATTGTCCCAGTTCATGTCTGAGAATAATTAGGGAGAAAAGATGGTCACCCACAAAGTACATTGATATATCAAATTATAGTTTCACTTTGACAGAGCAGGGACTGGGACAGAAGAGTTAAACAAAAGGTTAAAGACTGACAACAAAGAGGAAAAGGCAAATATTTACTTTGCCTCTGGATAGAAGAAGAAACACTGTCCCTGAATCCAGTTACTTTTTCCTTAAAGCTGACTGCTCATTTATTCTTCTTATCTACACTGACCCACATAAATAAACAGAGCAAGCCAAGATATATTGAAAATATTTGATTACTGTCTACTGGAACTCAATATATGGTTAAATAAAGGTTATAAATAAATGGACTACTCTACTAGATCCAGTGGTTGGATGGGACTTTTGTCCACATAGTAACTATGCATAACAATTACAAAAACGATTAAAAAAAAACATATTCAAAAAGCAGATTCAAAGTTCAAAGATGTAGGAATATAATCTCACCTCTGATCTTAAAGGAAAGTTTACCACAAACCGGCGAACAAATACATCGGGCCTGTTTATTTTCGTAAATTTAGCAGCTGCTGAATTCAAACCGTATTTCTTCTTCTTCGGTTTTATTTGGCTGTTGGCCCGTATTTCTTCTTCTTCGGTTTTATTTGGCTGTTGGCAGACACTGTTTTGATGAATTACCGCCACCTGCTGGTTAGAAATGTGAACTGGAATGGTGCTCAATTTTTTTTTTTCCATCCAAATGTATGAATAAAAAAAATATATATATATATACTTTTTCAAACAAATGAGTCTGTTTAAGAAATCTTACTAAAATGTTGGTACTTTCAGAGTCTGAGCCCCCCTGTAACGATTCAATAGGGTTGTATCTTTTATTTTATTGAGACTGTTGAGATTAAATTGAAATTATATATAATCAAGAACTAGAACAAGTTAAGTGTATAAAATATTTGGGTATATGGTTTGATGAGAAAATCATATGGAATGTGGATATACAAAATATTATTGATAAATGTAAAAAAGTCTTAAACATTATGAAATGTTTAGCTGGGAATGAATGAGGTGCAGACAGGACTGTATTAAAACAAATTTATACAGGACTTATCAGATAAAATATGGACTTTGGTAGTGTAACTTATGGATTGACAGCAAAAACACATCTGGAAAAACTGGACAAAATACAATATAAATATGTACAGGAGCATTCAGAACCACCCCAGCAGCAGCACTTGGTGTAGAAATGGGAGAAATGCCGTTAGCAATAAGACGAGAACAACTAGCAATAAACTACCTGATCAATCTTAAAGGAAATAACCCGGAACACCCAACATTAGATATTTTAAAACCAAGCTGGAAGAAGGACAAGAAAGAAACAAGAAGCTTTGGATGAATAATACACCAGAAAACAAAAGAAATGCAAAAACTTAGTCATCAGCCCAGTAGTACCAGTACCAACAATACCACCTTGCATTCTTCCAAATACAACAGTTGACTTGACACTCGTGGACAAGAAAAAAGACAGAAGATTTATTTTTTAACTCATATACAGTACAGGACCAGCAACTATTATAACTATATTCAGATTTATACAGATGCATCAAAAACTTCAAAGAAAGTAGAAGTGTCATATGTAATACCAGAAATCAACAGAAGTAAGGAACAGGATCACAAATGACCTATCAGTGTACACAGGGGAGATGGTGTCAGTATTAATGGCAGTGCAGTGGGTAGAAGACACAAGACCGTTAAAAACACTCATCTCAAGTTCAACACTCATCAGTTTACAAAATAGTCACTCAGATAGCCGACAGGACATTTTACTAGAAATACAATAAACATTATTCAGAATACAAAAGATGAGAATGACAGTGATATTTTTATGGACACCAGCGCATATAGGGATCAGAGGGAATGAAGCAGCGGACAGGGCAGCAAAAGCAGCAACAAAAGATCAAATCAATTTTACAATATCCATCAGTAAATCAGAAGTAAGAACCATAGTGAAACAAAAACTAAAGGAAAAAATGGTAAAAACAGTGGGAAGGAGAGCACAAAAGAATTATCATATAATACCATGGTATGACAGAAATCAGAGACAAGTTGGAGAATTGAGAACAGGAAGGAGGAACAGAAGAGAAGAATAATAACCAGATTAAGATTTGGACACAGTGATCTTAACAGCACATTTTACAAGATTCAGAAACACGTACAGGTCAATGTGAGCACTGGGGACAAGAGGAAACAATAGAACATGTCATCTGCAAAAAGATCTGAAGCTCTCAACCTTGACCTCTATAAGTGGCTTTGAACATCTGTTACGTTCCTGGCAAAAACCAATGCAGACATGTTCCTGTTTTTAGTTTTCTACACCGCCTCGAAATCCAGCTGTTTTTTTCTTTCTTCTTTTCCTTTTAATTACCATTTTATTTTCATTTGTTAAAAAAAATTGTACATATCCTTTATGATTGTCTATTGTTATCACTGTTGTCATCGCTCTTTGTTAAAATCAAGTCTCTCTTGTAACTGAGTCCCTGAGACTCAATGGGATTAACCTGTTTAAATAAAGGTTGAATGAATTTTGGTCTATCAGAAATTTGAAGATCACAGAAGACGGATGATAGAACAATTAGGAAAAATCAAAGAAACATTTAGTATAATAAAATGTATAGGAAACGGGAAGTAAAAGTATTGAAATGATTGTACATTTTTTTTAGAAACACAAAATTGAAAAAGAGAACATAAAGGATTTCAGACGTCATTTTGATCCATAATCCTGTAGTGAACCAGATGACCTCAAATCTACCAGATGGACAGAGACTGTTAGTTTCATTGATCTGAATTAGTCTGGGCCATCTGATGACTTTCTTTCTTGAATTAATCAAGCAGAAAAGACAATCCTCTATAATCATTACTGTTTTACAAATGTTTTGATAATCAATTGTGTTAGTTTCACTCAATTCTTACAGGTTGAAAAGAACTACTCATTTTTATTTTACATAAACAGTAAGTAATGATTTTTATTCCTCATTCAGAGAAGAAATCACCTGAATAAGCATTCCTTGATTTTCTGTCTGAAATGAGTCAAGTCGTAAGTATGTGAAAGGTTGGTTTTCGGTCAACTAAAATGTTTACCGAGAAAAATGTCATGTTTAAACTTTTTCAGAAGATTACCAAGAGTTGACTCCACGAAGTCTGCTGTTGCTGCAATAATCTTTTCTGTATGTGAAAACAAATTTCATTCTCTGACCTCGACCGTTGATAAACACCTTACGTCAAAACCACTCCTCTTTCTGGTCCTTCCACGAATCAGAAAGCTCTAAATTGAACAGGAAGTCGACCCAAATAAAATGTGGCAACTTCCCAGTTCATGTTAGATTGAGATTTAGATTGAGAGTGCAGCCGGTTCTGAAAGTTTCAGAGCAATGAAGAGTCCAAGAGAGCAATGAAGAATCCAGAGGTTTTTGGGATTATAATTCTGTTTTGAGCTAACTACGCACGACTCTCTGAAGGTTTGGTAGTTCTCGACGGAGACGCTGAAACGAGTCAGAAAGGAACTACTCCGACGCTGATTCATCATCAACAGGTAGATGGTTCTATTTTGACCAAGTGTACCGTGAGAAGCTGAGATCGGACGGAGCGTGCAATTTCTGGTTAAACAGATTAAATTTCCCTCACATATTTCCTCTGTAAGATAAATCTCAATTTACTCTTAAACTCACCTCTCTCTCATAAATCAGTGCAGATATTTTTAGAAATATCTGAAGCAAAGTCCTCAAATCACCGCCGAGTGATTTGAAGTTCATTATTTGTGAAACTGTCTGTTATTATTTTCATATTTTGCCAAATTAATGTAAATGTTTGATGTTAAACTTTGATTCTGAAAATAAATGATTCCATTCATTTGATGGGTCAAAGATAATAACGTCTCTCGTTCGCATTCCTTTAAATTCAATGCACGGCATTACACAGTCAGAAAGATGAAGAACTCGTGAAAAGTATGCATAAATATATATCCATATATTTGTCATACAACAAGTGACACGTACCTCACGTGACTCACTACAATCCATACCAATAGGTGGCGGTAATGCACACCTTCCCTTGATTGCCATTCGCCATAAAACATTAAGAAGAAGATCCTGATGCATGCTCAATAATCCAGGTAGAAAAATCTAAAAAAGTTAAATCTGGTCCTCTGGACATTCAAAAAACACCCCCTGCCCTTAACGATACCCCCATCATCACTATGGACTGTTATCGGTTTCTCGGCACCACCATCACTCAGGACCTCAAATGGGAGCCGACCATCAGTTCCCTCATCAAGAAGGCTCAACAGAGGATGAACTTCCTGCCACAGCTGAGGAAAGCCCAGCTGATGGTGCAATTCTACACGGCCATCATCGAGTCCATCCTCTGCTCTTCCATCCAGTGTGGTACGCCGGGGCCACTGCCAGAGACAGACACAAACTGCAGCGCATTGTGCACTCTGCTGAGAAGGTAATCGGCTGTAGCCTCCCATCTCTCCATGACCTGCACGTCTCCAGGACTGTGGGGCGAGCAGGTTGGATCACAGCTGACCCTGCTCACCCTGCATATGGACTATTCAAACCACTCCCCTCGGGCAGGAGGCTTCGGTCCATTCGGACCAGAACCTCCTGCCATAAGAAGAGTTTCTTCTCATCTGCCGTTGGACTCCTGAACACTCATAATCACGTTACTTTATAACTCTGCTTTGGTCACTTTGTCATTGTATTTTAATTGCATTACTCCAATTGCATGCTTTGTCTGAGTATTGTATTGTATTGCATTGCATTGCATTGCATTGCATTGCATTGTATTGCATTGCATTGCATTGCATTGCATTGCATTGCATTGCATTGCATTG